GGACTGCTGCTGCTGCTGCTCCCGCCGCTGTTCTGCGCGTTGTTCCTGCCTGTAGCCGGCGACGCAGACGAGCTTCTCGTCGAGGACGTGGTCGTGGTTGTTCCAGAGCTCGACGCTGTCGTCGACGCCGTGGTCGTGGTCAATGATGCGCTCGAGGTTGATCTCGTGCTCGACGTCTCCGCGGTCGACTGACTGCCCGGTGTCCCCACGTTCCGTGACTTCTCCTTCCACGTGTCGCCGTCCGACTTCGCGTTCCCCGATGTATACTCTGCGAAAAGACTTTAGTTAGTGACATTATCGGAGCATGCGGTACAGCTGTGTGCTATGATCTTATTGCAACAACGATAAATAGAAATAAATATCGACAATTGTTTTGTCGTTCTACGTAAAAAAGGCTGTGTGTGATACTGCATGCAACTGTAAGATGGTTCAAACCGAAAGGTGAATGATAATACTGTATCAATGCGATAATACGTTCGTACTGCAATTACGTGCAAACAAAAGTACAAACGATATTCGCTGTCTATAAAATAAAGCGATTACGGACGTTCCTTTGTGTCTACAATGGTAATCGGATTTTAATAAGACCTGTAAAGAAAACGTTTGACCACAGAAATGCTAGGCTACTAAGTTGGGTACTGTAGGAGATACGGGGGAGGAGTGGGCGGGTCGTGGAACATCAACGAAAATAAAAATAAACGTCGATAAAACAAGAAAAAACAAAGTGTGATCATACCATTTCTTTCTTTTTTTTAACAAGTTGCGCGACAATACGTGCCTTTTCTCGCGTTCCGTGAACGCGGGCAGAGTTAACTACAAAAGAAAAAGAACATACGTGACGTACATCGATAGATTCATAGGAGTCCGACAATTCCACGCTGAAAATTCTTAATTGGGCGTTGAGATTTCATCAACTTTCACGGGAAAAAAGACTAAAGAGAAAAAGGAAAAAAAGTGAACGTCGGACGAAACCCTTGCGACATTGCTTTTTAAGTTTACAGCGTGAATGACTTCGGTACACTCTGCAAGGTGCACTGGATATTTTCCAAGCTGGCTCCGTAGTAATGTTAGATGTGACAGTTGTGTACCAAATCTGTTGCGCAACAGATCCTCCGTTGAACTTCGTTCACAAAATTCGATCAACGCGAGAAACGATGTCCGATGCCTCAGAAACAATAGAAAACACTCTTCTTTGTTCTTCTATAATGAACTCTCTAACAATTCGCAGCCAGGATTCGCTTGTCATCGTTTCTCGCGACGACAAAAGAAACAATACGATAATAAAAACGTGGATGAAAAGTAATAAAGTTTCACGGCCAGCAGGCTCATAAAAAAATAAGATCAAAAAGTTAAATGCAACGAACAAACCATGTACATATATATATTTATCTTTCTGTTGTTCTCCAAATGTTTCACTTTCCTTCGAATTGTCCGGACAGTAAAAATAATAAATCAACAATACGCGTACGCAACATGCAAAACAAAAGTCCATAAAAAATAATAATCGCTGACTTCCCTGCCGCGGTTGGCTCTTACCGGAGCGGCGGAGTCGGCCGCCATCGCGTTTTTTCGCGCGGGAAATTTAAAAAGTGCGCGCAAGCATATGGCGAACATCGATCGCGAACAAACACGACCATTGCGTCCGCTCGAGCCATCCGCCGCGAAGGAATCTTAATATCTAGAGATCGTCTGCGTTGGCAGGCTCGAAATTCGCTGCGCACATGATTACGTCTGACATTTTATAAAACTGAATCCGACGATTAAACGAGACCGGTTTAAATTACTCGGGTAATTCGCCCGCGCGTTGTCACGGCGACCGCGCGCGTGTTGCGGCAGCGACTGCGCTCGGCCAACGAGACGCATCCACGAAAAATCGCTAAAACGAAACTAAATAAAAGTAATTTTTGGCTAAGTGTAACGGTGCTCCGTGGTGAGTGGCGGGAATTCTCGATTTTGGTGTGATTCTTTCTCTCCCTTTGTATTTTGTTTGTGTGTGTGTATGTGCACGTTTGTATGTCCGTTGTGTGTATGTATAGCCGTGTGGTTGCGTGTGGGTATACATGAACCTATCGAGATGGATAAATATACACAAGGGCGGTGGTGATTTTTCGTTTCAAACGGCTAATGAGAAAATCTCTACGAGGACACGGGTGTGGAACGCGCGATTCGATTTCGAAGCCTCCCCCGAAAATGAGAGGCGAGCAGAGCTCGCGTTGAAAATTGTTTGTGGCATTCGATTCGAAGTAAACTTTATGGCACTTTCATGGTGGTTCGTCGGTGTCATGGGTCGCGGACCCATGACACGACGGTGTTCTTAGCTGCTGAACGATCTTAAAATGAAGAGTCTCACGAGTCTCTGCGCGCGAATCGGGCCACGCCTCACGTTCCACATACGTGCGCGTGCGGTTCGTACAACGCATAATTAACGGAAACGACAACGAAACGCAACGAAAGAAAGTGACCAAAAAAAAAATAAATGAGCTAAACGTATCAAATACTACTTGCACGTCTACTGCGCCGCTCAGGCGTGATTGGTAGTTACCTTCGTTTCGGTTCAATGCGATCAATCCGCATTAGTTTCCTCGACAAACGTGTACAAAACTCAGTGAACAATCCAGTAGTAGCCACTTTTATAAACTTTCGATAACGCACAAATCTTTTTCCTGTATTCGTTCTCTTTTCTCTCTCTCTTTCTTTCGATATCCGACTTCATTACACTCGTTCCCTTTGTTTCCACTACTTGTTTTTTTGTTCTTTTCTTTTCTAGCAATTCGTGTTCCCCTCTCGTCCTGCTTCGGCGGCGGAGTCAGGGCACAAGATTCGTTAGTGGAAAAAAGATAAACAACGCAGAAAAATCGTCGAAACGCATTAACAAAGAAAAAAAATAGGTATGTATATATATATATATAGAGAGAAAATGCATGGTAAGATGTTCGTGTGCTCGAAATTAAAGTGAAACGCGTTTACAACTGGAATTTACTGAAGTATTATTGCAGTTAATGGATGAAGCTTCGATACAAAACTTTGGGTAAAGCTCGGTTCCACGCAGTCGGTATCACAAGGGCAGAAATTGTCTGGTTTCCTCGGCATTAAACGATAAGAACGACCAAACAGCTTTTTCCGAGACGGAAACGGAATCTGCGAGCAGCAAGTCGTCCTCGAAATGCATTCATTTCACTGCGACACTTCGATGCGTTGTTGTTGTACACTTTGTCGGAGACGTGCAACTTCTCGAGATTCGTGGTCTCGACATTTTCTATTATTTTAATATTTTAGTTATTTAATTCTTCTTTTACTGTATAATTTTGAAAACGACTATTAACGAGACCATTTTATCAGTCAGTGAACACTTTTCGTTTTCATCGACGAATCCCGTTAAGTCGAGCACGCGACAAAATTTGAAGCATGCGTTCACGCGCACAACGGAAAAGAAAAACGGATACGTGAATGCGTGTGTATGTGTGTGTGAGACAAGTCGGTACACAGCGAGACTTAAAAACCCCTCGGTTATAATCTATTGAACACCGTTCTTTTTATTATCGATAGTCATAATCAAACAATCAGTGCATATAAAATATACTAAGTCTACCCAGCGTCAGAAAAGACTTCATCTTCTCTAAAAAGTTCCCTATAAAATTTCACCTTTTGTTTCATCGTTTTCATTATTCTGTTTTTTTTGTTTGTTTGTTTGCTTTGTTTGCTTGCTTACAACACTCGTTTTACGAC